AGGAGGCTGTCTTTGACCCTGTCAAAAGCCTCCCGATGCTCGGTGTCCCAACACCATTACGTATTTTTTTCAAGGAGATTCGACAATGGCCGTGCCATTTCTGCGAAATTCGCACTGTACCTGGCAAGTAGTTGGCGAAGCCAAGCCACTAGCTCAAATCCTTTTGGTTATTTGGAACTGGCCAGTCCTTATTGGCCTTGACCTTAGTGGGATCCGCTCGATGGCAATAAAGCACCCTAAATGACATTTTTTTCGCGCCGAAGATGCTCTTCTCGTCATTAGCATACAGCTTATTCGTGCACTCGAGCACCGCTCTCAAATGAGCGATGTGGTTTCCCTCATCTGTCCTCCCGTGCCCCGCACGACTGTGGACGACGACGACGATGTCGTCAAAGTATGTCTGTACATACGCCCGATGGGGCCTGAACAACTGCGTCAGAATAGGATTAAATGTTGCTGGTGCACTTGCTCTCATGAGCAATTGGTAATAACCATCGACCAAGTCGAGTGCGCTGTACTTTGTACAGCCTACCATATTGTTATGGAGAACATTCTCTCTAGTAATCGGCGTCTGTGCTGGAATGATAGCAGTGGTTGGCTTATTGTAAGCGTGAATGATGCGCCAATTGCCTTTCTGTATCCGGTTACAAAACGTGGGTGTCGAATGGAGAAACTTGCTCTCACGCACCATTCATGCGTCGTGCTTCGCACGGAAGAAGGCGTCAATGACGTCATACTGCTCTTTGGACAGGGCCATAGGCGTGTTACGCGGTATTTGGTTCCCTGAACCAAGTCAATCTCATGACGCAGGTAGTACCGACGGTGGGTATTTGGGTACGACGTCTTGAAATTCCTTCACCAAAGTATCATACGAACTTGAAGAATTCTTCAAGATCAAAGGTCCACTTCGTGCGCTCAGCACTCTCTTGGTGTCCTTCAGGACAGCTTCATCCAGAAGCGTCGACGAGTTGATCTCCTCGTCTGGTTGTACAATTACTACTTTGGCTAAGTCGCCTGACTTCAAGGCACCGCCGAAACTATTCGAGCGACATCTCGTTCAGCTCAAGAAGAGCATCCACCGCAGGAATAGACTCGAGGGTGACGCCGCCGTCTTCCTTTCTCGTCATACCGTTGACGAGGGTGTATAGCTGTGCGCTATCGTCTACGGTATACAAATCCTGGGTCTCGGTCGACACTTGGCGTCTTGCAGCTAGCATACGGCGTCGCTGTTGCATCTTCACATAGGTTTAATGTCTCGGCGAGACCAGTGTCAGCACGTGCTCAGTATCGTCAAGTGTCAGCCCCACTTCCTTTTCCACCAAAGCCCTGATGTTATTAACAACATCAGATGAAGTGCTACTAACCATTTTGATTTTGACATGTTGATCATTATTTACGAATACCATTTGAGCACATCGTTCTGATATCCGTTTGATGGAGTTAATATCTGAGCAGAACTGAACTTTGATAAGGCGTTTCAGTACTTCCATTTTGAAAACAAATAAGAAATTCGCGTTGGAGTCGATGCTGTGTTTCTGAAGGAACCCTTTGATGACTGAATGCTTTTGGAGCGAGCTCAGCGTCGCCTACTGCAGTAGTAAAAGTATGGTAGCCGGAAATTTTACAATAACTTTTAGTAAGCATCAGTTCAGAGAGCCAAGAGGAAGAGTCAGAATAAAAACTTTTTACATCACGACGGCACCAAGCGAGTATCTCTTGTGGGACAGGTAACATAGGTGTAAGATGGTGTCCCTGTACCAGAGCCGGCGAAGAGTAGATGTTTTAGTCTCCAGTACCAGGCCGGTGGAGTTGGAGAAAATTTTATGTAGTTGTGTCCAGCGGAGACGGATTACTATAACGTTGTAAGTAAAAGGACCAGACCCTGAAGTTATAAGAGGCGCTCATTCTCGTCATGCTGAAATGATACTGTTGAGTCGGCACTACCTTGTGGCACACCCACCAAGCGGAACAGTGAGCATCACTGCGCTGCGCGAGAATATCACAATTGTATGACGAACGCTTACTTCAACGGGCGCTTTTATTTTCTCCACTGCATTTTCGCGCAAAATTACCTTGTCAAATAGATTTAGCGGGTTAAGTACCAGATCATATAGGGCATACTTGTATGCACCCATGTAATGCAATATTTCATAGTGTTTGCCGGACCAAACAGTTTTTTTTCGCGCATTTTAAAAACTACGGAGGCAGCTGGCTACAAGGTTGTTTCATAAAAATTGCACGTATGATTTGTATCGGAGCTCATTTAAGGCTGCACGACACAAATGGTTCGTACATCTGACAATTTCCAAGCACATAAAGCTAAAGATGCCACTTTAAATGAAGAAGATTCATCCCCACATTCAATGTGACGAGAGGCTTCGCCAAACACGAGCAGTTCTCGCCATCGCATATCATTCGATAAAGGAAAGACTGCAAGCTTTCTTAATCTTGACTAACGTAACCACTTAATTGCCTTTGACTACCTTCAAATCGTTCCAAAAGTCACTACATCTTAAGAGTGCAAGCCTTGCATCCATCAAGATCAAGGTTCTGTGTGCATCAAAGTGTTAAGGAATCCTATAAAAACTAACTCAGACTGTGTGTGTGTGGTAAAGACAACGCCCGACTCCGCGGTTGGCGGTATTTGTAGCATAATAGTGCGAAACTTCTGTCCGCACGCAACGTCTCAGGGCGAGCTACGAGCTCGTACTTCTCGCCAATTATTTAATTTGGCAAGAAATAGGGTCGAGCACTGCTGGCGTTAAATCCGGTTTATATTCAGTAGCGTAATATGTTGGTGTCCTGTTAGAATACTTATCTCTTGATTTCAGTATTGGGTTCATTCATCATGCACCGGGCGGCGGTCGTCCTGTTCGTCTCCGCCCGCCACCGACTCTTCTCTATGAGAACGGTGACGTCCACTATCACGTGAAACGTACGACGTCGTCACCAGGGTCGGACCCAATATCTTGTGAAGTGGCGGAGATATCCCGACTTTGAAAACTCGTGGGAGTTTAAGGCGCCACTTCGGCAAGATTGCCCAGTCGCCGTGGACCATTTTGATCGGAGCGATCAGAACGTCCCGCGCTTCCTGGCAATAGCCAGGGAAGTAGAAGGGCCATGAGCTGAGCATAAGCAGTGGTCCTGAGCTTTCGTGGCCGTGGACAAAGCTCGCGAGTGCATTAGGGGTTGTTAACCCATAATTTGCAGGGCGACAACCCGAAGGAAGTCGACGGCGTGCCTTGATTTTGGCAAACTTGAAGCGGAGGTGTCGCACCACACGCACATGGCTGAACGGCAGGGTATGCAATGAGGAAAGTTTTCGGTGCCGTTGCACCCATCGCCCAAAGAGCGCTTCGTCATCTGTAGCGCTTTCTCCAGGGGCGAGCACTACAGGTATTGTCCGCATTGCGGGTACACGAGAGCCACCTCGTTGTGCACTCAGGCGAGTGCGATAAGTTTCCAG